TATCCATTGTGAAATGTCACATGCTAGTTTATACCTTTGACATACAAAATTCAGTGACCCAGTTCCTAGTCTTTTATAGTTATATTTCCATAGTCTCTCAGCTATCCCATATAGGTAAAGTTCTCTCCATTCGCTCTACTCCAATCTGTGTCAGATAACATTCCCAGATCATTCGTCAACAAATGTCTGTGTAAAATATCTCTTAATCCCTACCCAGCACCTACAATGGTTTCATTTTAAGATGGGGAGCTTAGTTTTGCCAGTGTGTCTTTATCATCCATGCTAATCTATCAACACCAGGGAATGCCAAGCGCTTGCATTGCTAGGGAAAATATGGAGGGTTAGTTTATTAGAAAGTTAGGCAGGTACTTCACCAGTTCCACAGCAGTTCTATTCACTTTTTATACATGAGACATGAATTGTCCCCTCAAAGGCTTGTGTATTGAATGCTTGGTTTTCAGCTAGGGTCTCTCTTGAGGAGCAAATGGATCATGAGGATGCTAACTGCATTAATGGACCCCCACCCCCCGCAAATATCTTTTCTCCTTTAAAGGTGTCCCTCTCAGGCATTTTTTAGCGGTGGTGAAAAGCTGACAACTGCAAACCTAGAGAAATAAAAACATAATAAATGTCAGCAGATGGGTATAGCAGCTTTATTCATCATCATCAATTCTCAATGGCCACCAATAGAAGAGATTAACCAGCTGAATGCACTCACCCAGCCAATACCACCCAGGAATACATGAGAACAAACAAATTGACAGCATCATAACGAAGATGGGATTCAAAAAAAGTACACTGAATGACAGAAGTCAGTCTTAGAATGTCTCGGCCTCCAGGACTCCACTGACAACCTCTTGAAGAAAAGGAAAATGAAAGCAAGGAAGAAGAGAGTAGATGGCAGTGCTTAGGAAAGGGAGTGGGGAATTAGGAAACATTATGAAGGCAGCCCTGGTGGGAAGGGAGCTCGTGTACACTGTATTAGTGCTTACATGAGTCTGTATATGTATTGCATTCTCTAGAATTCAGATCCAAAACATTATTTTATAATATGTTAACTCAAGAAACATATGGTGTTTATTTTTTGTTTGTCTTCCTACATAACCCAGGTTGTTCCTGAACTTGTAACTATCTTTCCTGGATCTGATATTACAGGAATGAGCCACCATGTTTAGCTGAACCAAATTTTTTTAAAAATATTTTATTTATTTATTATGTATACAACATTCTGCTTCCATGTATATCTGCACACCAGAAGAGGGCACCAGGTCTCATAACAGATGGTTGTGAGCCACCATGTGGTTGCTGGGAACTGAACTCAGGACCTCCAGAAGAGCAGCCAGTTCTCTTAACCTCTGAGCCATCTCCCCAGCCCCTGTGAACCAAATTTTAATAGGGGTTAAGCAATAAGATCTGAATTAAGTTGTTACACAGAAATCTTCCAGAAGCATCCTTATATTTACTTAGATTGCTTGTAATGCTTTGGTATCCAAAGCAACCATGAAATTAGTGTGTGTGAACATTATTTAATAAAAATACAAGTTAGAGGTGAGATTGTATATTTTTTTGAACATCAAAACTGATAGTTTTATTTCCACTAATTTCTAGCTGACTTTAGATTTCCGTCAATTTTGAATTAAGGGCAGCAAATCATAACTCATGCCACTTTAATGGTATATTACTGTCACAGTTACCTCAAAATATTGTATGTGCTAAGCACAGTTTAGAAATTGCATTAAGCAGGCCTGCTGCTAGATCCTATGTAAGGTCACTCATGAAGAAGCACTTGCACTATGTCACAAAGCTGGTTCCAGTCTGTTTTTTTTCCATTCATTTGTTTAGCTCATAAATAAAGTCATGCACAATTATGATACAGAATACAGTGTGTTCACAATGGCATGGCTAAATTAAACCAATTAACATGTTGTATCACACATATTCATCATTTTTGTTTTGAGAACACTTAAAGTATACTATCTCACAACTTTTAAAGTATAGCATATTGTTATCAACCATATTTATCATGCTCTCAGTAGACCTCAAGACATCACAGAGTCCATGCTTCTTGTCCAACTGCAGTTTTATATCCTTAAACCAATCGTTTCCCCATTGTTAAAAGACCCACATTGAAGCCTAATAGCCACAATTCTGCTCTCTG